AGGGTTCAAGTTTTGGGGGTTTCAGGCTCAGGTTAAGGTTTAGGGTTCAAGTTTGGGGTTTCAAGTTTAGGGTTCAAGTTTTGGGGGTTTCAGGCTCAGGTTAAGGTTTAGGGTTCAAGTTTTGGGGTTTAAGGTTTAGGGTTCAAGTCTTGGGGGTTTCAGGTTTAGGGTTCAAGTTTTGGGGTTTAAGGTTTAGGGTTCAGGGTTCAAGGATAGGAGTTAAGGTTTGGGGTTTAGCGTTTTGCAGCCCCTAGCACCCCAAAGCCCCAGTGATGTTCATCCTCAGAGCTTGTCACGAAGGTCTTGCCCGCCAAGTTCATGGTGGAAGCGCAGGAGTTCATATGAAGGTTTTTTTTAGGGTTTAAGGAGGCCACATAAGGTGTAGCGTTTAGGGCTTAAGAATAATAAGGGTTAGAGTTTAGGTTTCAAGGTTGTGGGTTTAGGCTTTAAGGTTTCGGGCTTAGGTTTCAAGAATTAGGATTTCGGGACCCCCACCCCCGCATTCTGAATCCGATACAAGGAACCCTGGGTGCAACTGTTAGGTTTGTCAGGACCTGGTTCTCATGATGTGCTATAGAAGCCTGAATACACCGCATCATGACTCCTGCGTAGTCGACCCCGGTAAAGGTACTTCTAGCCCATACCGTCGATGCCCAGCCAAGCCTGAGCCGAAAGCCGCAGACCCTAAACTCTCAAGCCCCAATCCTTGAAAGGAATCGATTAATGGAAAACAAAAGCCCCTTAAAGGAACCCCCCAGGGTTTAGGGTTCAGGTTTCTTGTAGGAGCCTCTAAGAGCAAGGCCCCCGGAAAGAAACTGTTCAACGCCAGAGATCCAAACCCAGCAAATCCGAAGCTCTTTAGCCTTCAAGCCCAACATCTTGAGCCCAAAAGCCTTGGTTTCGGGTTTAGGGTGCAGCCCTTGACCTACTTCTGAACCAAACACCAGGAAGTGCACTGAAAGTCACAAAAATTGAACTCTAAACCCCAAGCTGTCCATCTTGAAAGAGCCAAGCCGAACACCGTAAACCTGTAGACCCTTAACCCAACACCTTGACACCGTAAACCCTCCAAACTCTAAGCCCTACACGGGCCTACACGCCAGAAGAGCTAAACAACCTACCCCCCAAAGATCTAAAGTTCTACAACCCGCAAGCCTAAGCCCTAAACATCCTACGCCCTCTGAATCCGCCAAGCCCTACAGTTACTGCTCATTTTCTACAAGCCGACAAGGGAAATATTAGCTCAACCATAAAGGCTTTAATTCATATGATAGGGGCGCCTCTTGTTCTATCCCTAACCGAGCGCTATGTTACACCCTGCAGCCCTAAAGCCGTAAAGCCCCTACAGCCCTCAAGCCCTAAACCCTAAAACACTGCAGCCCTCAAGCCTTAAACCCTAAGCCCAAGTTCTAAAGCCCCAAACCCCTCAAGACCTTCATCGAAGCTGCAGGGCTCTAGGCTCCAAGCCCAAAACCCCTTATATATATGTATACTTCATAGGAACCCTTGAAGGAACCCTAAACCCTAAACCCCAAGCCTTAAACCCTGAAATCTTTGTTGAGAACCTTTATAGGAACCCTAGGCCTTACGGGAAGCCTAAACCTTCATAGGAACCCTTGGAGGAACCCTTAAAGGAACCCTAAACCCTAAACCCTAAACCCTAAACCCTAAACCCTAAACCCTAAACCAGGAAGACAAGTCCAAGGCGGAGTTCGAACCGGACCAGTGGGCCCAGGGCCTCAGACGAAAGCAACGCAGAGTCTCCAAAACCCCGTATAAGTAAGAGATTATGGTTTAGGGATTAGGGTTTAAGGATTAGGGATTAGGGTTTAGGGTTTAGGGTTTAGGGTTTAGGGCTTATGGATTAGGGATTAGGGTTTAGGGTTTGGGGCTTAGGTGCTTCGCGGTTTAGGCTTTGTGGTACGGCGTGTTGGCTTTCGGGTATAATAGGGGCTTACCAAAATCGTTTTAGCCTTCCTCTACGTTCTGTTCATGTATACTGCAAGATGTCTCCCAAACACACATTCCAACTGTGCAAGCCCCTGTATGAATTCAGCGATATACTTTAAACTGCAGGTCTATATACGATTCGAAACGAATTCCTTGGTTTGCTGGTTTTGGAGCCTCTGGGAAAGCACAGAACAGATGAACCTAATCCATGAATTCCTAGACCCCCACAATGGGGCCCTCAATATTTCGTCTCCGAGACCTGCGAGGTGGGTACAGTGCCACCCTGCGCCTCCCATGTGATCACCGTCACACTCACGGCGCACACTGCAGGAGCTCACGCCGAGAAGAATTCCTTCGAATATAGCGATTAGGGCTTTAGGGTTTTAGCTTCAAGTCTTGGCTGTAGGGGTTTGGGTTTAGGGGTTTAGACCCTGAGCCGTAGGGCTTAATGCTTTTGGTTTAGGGTGCAACGCACAGGACTCCCACTTGTTGAATAAGACAACACGTCGTACTCTGGCCTGGTGCTTAAAGTTTTTCCGGTTTGGGGACCAGGTGTGCCGCAGTTTGACTGTGGAAAGAGTGCGCGATTTTTGGCGTTGACGACACCTCGAGCCCTAAACATTGTAGGCTTAAGCCTCATCAGCCTCCAAAGATCACTGTGGACCACCGATGAATACTGTTACAGTTATTGTTATCACTTTTTGTTTGCTGTTGTTCTTGTTACTACTTTGACTATGACTATCACTATGACTGTGACCATCGCTGTTGCTGCTACTATCCCCATGACTATCAGCTATCCCTATTACTCTCAACATACTTATTATGATATTCTCTCACATTTCTTCCTGTTCTTCTTATGACGAAGGTCACCACCACCACCACCACGACGACGACGAAGACATGACTACGACTACGACTACGAGTATGAAGACGACGAGTACTACTACCGCTACTACTACCGCTACTACTACAGCTACTACGACGGCCGTAAGAAGCCGGGTGGTCATCAGTCCGAGGTTTTACACGGACCTGCAGACCTTCAACTGCCCCAACCCCGAGCCACTAAACCCCGAGTTAGGGTTCAGAGTGTAGGGTTTTGGGTTTTGGGGTTTAGAGTCTAGGGTTTCACTAAACACCAACCCGTAAACCCCGACACCCTCGACTCCTCCGCAGCCCTAAACCCTAAACCCTGCTAGGGCGCGAAGCCCCTAATCACTAGACATGCTGAACCCCCAAGCTCCCCAGCCCACAACGTTAAGCAGGGAGTTCCGAAGGTGCTATCTAGAATATGGGCTTCGATATGGGTATAAGTAAGGACTTGAGGTTTGCACAAGGGTGCTTATAGGACCCCAGACAAGAACGGGCCACTCAGTCGGACCCTAAATCGTAGACAAGCGTTTTGGTTGCTGGGTTTCATCGGTTCTATATTATAGGTACGCTGTAGATATAAGAACACTCTGCAGAATCATGCTGCTATCCATCCAGGCACAGTCAATACCCAAAACCCCCAAAGCTTCATTGTACTTAGCCGCCTATCGAACCCTTGTAGAAGACCTGAACGGAACCCTGCACGCAGCAGGACCGCTCCGAATACCCATGTACGTCAAGATCATGGGAAGGGATGTTCCATTCCCACTAGTGGTGCGCTGCCCTCTTCGGGGAGAGGAAGGAGGCAGAAGGAGGTTGAGGCATTGGGGCTTTGGTTGAGGATCTAGCGGTTTACGGTTTGGCGGAGGTTTCGCAGTTTAGACTTCAAGTTTGGGAGGGTGAGGACAAGGACCGCCTGCCTCGTACAGGATGCGGCCACTCACTCCTCCTCCCCCTCCTCCTCCTCCCCCTCCTCCTCCTCCTCCTCTTCGTCTTCATCACCCTTCCCATGAATTATCAAGTAGGCTTAACGGATTTAGCTTGTCGAGGTTGGATTCCAGCTTTCAGCAGCTAAGTGTTGACCACAACACGAAATCCAGCAATTCCCCGTGTCCTGCAGTGACATCTCAGCTGCCTCAAGCCTTTCCTCTGGTCACGTTGTAAGTGTGGGCGCCTCTGGCGAAGATGAGGCTTGATAACAACTATCCCTAGCTGACACGCTGGTGATGCACAAACAACATCACCTCTGACAGCTGAGCTTCGGGGCGCGCTTGTTATGCGGCATGTGTGCTGTGACGATAGAGTGTCAGCTTGGAATTCCTCGTTTCGCTCAGGGATCCTTCCCGATGGCGATTTTGCGACACATTGTCTGGACCGCTGAGCGAATCACTTGTCCTTGTTGGCTTTGTGGTGGCCACACCCGGGAGGAACGGGAGAGAAAGGTCAGAAACTTGAAGCTGACTCTATCTGATGCAGCACATCTCCAGCGGCTGAGGTTTTCCGATGACTGCTTGTGTCATATGCATGGAAGCGGGCAGAGTTGAATGCGTGCCGGTTACAGGTGTGCACGGTGCAACAACAGGAGTTGTGATGAGACAAATTGAACCAGTTATCCCTAGCTGACTTGGCTGTGATGCCGAATCCAATCACCTCTGACAACTGATCCGACTTAAGTTGTCGTGCACCTTGTTCTGCAGGCATGTGGACTTCGTCGTGGTATGCTATGACGATAGAGTGTCAATTTGGAATTCCTCGTTTCGCCCAGGGTTCTCGCTCGATGGCGATCTGCGACACAGTCTGGACCTCTGAGCGTTGCAGCCGTCCGGGAGGATTAGGGGAACACAGGTCAGAAACTTGAACTGACCTCCGCTGATGCGACTATTCTCCAGCAGCTGAGACCCTCCCAACTTGTCGTCTGTGAAGATTTCGAGATTGAATAGGTCAGAAGCTGACCCCAGTGATGTGCGACATCTCAGTGGCCTGAGACCGTTCGTGTGGTCTTGTTGACATGTGGCATGTGGGCGCGTCTGGCGAAGATGAGACTTGATAACAACTATCCCTAGCTGACACGCTGGTGATGCACAAACAACATCACCTCTGACAGCTGAGCTTCGGGGCGCGCCTGTTATGCGGCATGTGTGCTGTGACGATAGAGTGTCAGCTTGGAATTCCTCGTTTCGCTCAGGGATCCTTCCCGATGGCGATTTTGCGACA